TGCAAGTTTGCCAGAGGTCTCTGGCTGGCCGCAAACCCAGCCAACGGCGATGAATCCCCCCCTCTTCCCCGCATCTTCTCCCGGGTTTCTCTCTCATGGTAGGGAGGCCAAGGGCTGGCTTTCCCTCCTCCCGCCCCACCCCACCTCCTCCACTAGCCTTCCCTTGCTAAAGGCCGCCCACCCAAAGCGGCAAAGCGTCCCGCCGGAATTACTTACTCACCAGTGGAGCAAGCAAACGGCGAAGGCTAAATGAAATGGAGACTGCGCAGCATGCTTAAAGTTTTCCATCCACCCAGCCAGCTCACTGATTGGCTGGAGTCCAGGCCAATCAGTGAGCGGCAGGCTGGGCTGGCTTAAAAGTTTATGGAAGAGCGAGCTAGCTAGCCGCTAGTGGCAGGTGATGGGCGGGGGAGCGAGTGAGCTGCGAGCGCCAAAATAAAGCGGGATTTTTCGAGAACAGCCTGGGACACGGGAAAAATTATGGGAAGGCGTGCCAAATGCGGGATGTCTGGTCACCCTAGCCATGGTGCAAGTGTTCATTTAGAAAAGAAATGAATATGTCAGCAAGCCCCTCCTGATCACAACTTGGATCAAACACTAAATTGTTGCTGACCACAGAGGCACCTATATGCTCTTAGCAGATTGAGCACACATTGTCAAAAAGAGAAAAGATTTGATCCATCCACTTAATAAGAGAGAGGTTTTAGCTTCCGGACTTTTTGGACAGTGGGGTTATTCAGAAGTGTATAGAGCAGGAACCATCTTATCCTGGCTTTGCTAGACACTCTGGGAACTAAAAAAAGAAAGAAACCAGCATTAATTTTTTCCGTGTTTAGCAGGCCAGTCATTCTCTCTCAGCCCAAACCACCTCATAGGGGAAAATTGGAGGAGGAAGGTGGGTTGGATTTGTTTGCCATCTTGAATTATTTGTAAGACTAAAATGGCGGGATATCAATAAGTAAAATAAACATTCTCCAGATCATTCCCTTGTTTATTACTGACCAACATACTCAAGTGAGTACTGTATGAGAGGTTCTGGGACTTTATATCCGTGAGTACTCTCGGCTGGCACATGCACTGCCACCCCAGGTCAGATCTCTGTGACGATTCTTTTGTGAACTTCTGTTTCCCTGCAAACAACGAAACAGAAGCTCACGAAAGAAAAAGATCTTACCTCTTGCTGTGTTGCCGGTGTTGAGATTCCCCGCCTCCCACCAGCCAGCTGGTCTTTGGGTCTCTGCTGTGCATGTCTGTGCATGTGCATGTCCAGTCCTTTCAGTTTGGGCATGCGTGCACGCAGTTTGGACACTCGATGTCTTAAAGGTTTGTCATCACTGCTCTATATCATATACACTGCATTTCAGTTCATCCCTTTCTGCCAAAGAATTAATCTTAATGCGTTTTGGAATTTCTTTTGGGGGGGGGTGTTTGGGGGGAATTTCAGTTTAGGTTTTTTTAATACCAAATATAAAGCTTTGGGGAGAAAGGAAATAGATCAATACAACATCTCTAGTCTTGCACAAGTGTTATATCTCACTATCTTAACAACTCCACCCTGCAAAAAAATGCTACACCCTCAGATAAACAAAATTTGGAGGTAGTGATGTTGTCACAAATGTCTGAACAGATAACCTTCAGAAAGCTATTCCTGAAATCCAGTGTGCATGATAGCACAGATACCTGAAACAGAAACTTCTAATAAAGTATATGGACATAGTTTTATCTTCGTAATAGAAGCCTGTGCAAAAGGTTAAACCGTTGATGAAATGGAATGTTTAGTTATGGAGCCCATTTTCACGAGTTCTCCAAATGAAAACAATCTGCAGTGTTGAGAGCTTCTTCCCCAGAAGTGAAGATTCTATTTTAACCTGCCCTATATCTTCTATATTGCTTAACATCCCAACAGGCCATGTGGCCTTTGATTGAAGCTTACCTATTTCCAAAAGCGTACACACAGAGGAGTATGAATCGGCAGACAGCCTTTTCTGTTTGTATTTGTCGCAAAGGATTTGGCAGAAGCACACAAGGATGGGGTTTGTGTGATAGTGGTCCAGATACAGCATTCCAATCCAAACTGTGTAACCTGTAGAAAAATCATGAATATTTCTTTTTTGCGCTTCTTGTTCTCCCATCCCACCCACTCCCTCCAAGGCTTGAAACAAAGATGCTAATGAGTGGAAAATCCAATTCTGTTATGTAAAAGTAAATAAGGTCTCCTCTGCAAAGTACTTCAAATGCTTACCTGCATCACATTGTTCATAACCTTTTGGCATTACTGGCCTATCTATCCGTCCAACCAGCCAGACTCCAAGAATGATGCTGCGGGCAAGTCTCATCAGACAGGAAGCTAAACCCACGACCACCGAATGGAAGAATAAAAAATAACTGAAGTTTACGAAGCCTCTCCTGCAAAACAAGAGAAATCTCATGTTTACTCTCCAACTATGGAGGAAGAAACAGATAATTTGCTTTTAAACTCAGTCATTAGCTGTGCTAGGATTTGGAGGCAGATACTTCTCCCAATGGGGTTTTACCCAAAATTTAGTAGTTCTACCTAGCGCTCAGTTGAGGAAGTATAATAAGTTGTACTTGTAAAAGTTATAATACTTTACTGAGCCTATGAGAAAATGAATAAGATTATTTACAAGTCTCACCAATGAGATAAATGCAAACACCTAAACATATTTCATTGAATTGAAATTAGTCTATAAATTGCAACAATAGCACAATATTAAAAGATTTTCAGTAGAATAAGATATAAGACTAGGATGAAAGGAAAGGAAGTGAGGAGAATTATATTGTTAAATCTTTCCTAGTTTTCTTCATGCAATATTCAACATAAAAAAGCATTTGAACCTGTTTTCTCTATAGCTTAAAAAGCATAATACAAATTCCAAATAGTTCTTCTGAACCTGTATTTTTGTACTTAACCTATTCCCATTGATCTTTTTCCCACCAAAATGACTAGTGACTAACAAGTCATAGTGACTAACAAACGGCAAAATTAGAAGGTGAATTCGATTAGCTTCCCTGAGTAATTGCTTCCAAATAAGGCTTTTATTTGTTCAAATATGAATACTTTTTGCATCCCATCTTTATCTCACATCTGTTTTGAACAGTTATTTTAAAAATAAGTAAAAAACCTGCAGAACTATATAATACCTTCCAAAAGACACTGCTAAAAAATGTTTACCTGGAAGCTTCCATGCCTATCAAACCCAGGTGCCGTGCAATGGAGAAAATTATATTCATAGAATAGCTGTAGGCATATCACACTCTAGCACTGACCTGTTATCAAGAGCCAAAGGCTTTTGACTGTCAGTCGGTGACATTTTCGGCTGGAGAAAAAACCTGGCGCCTGCAAGCACTTGTATCTTCTTGATCACTAGGACAATGACAAATGTCAGGCTGAGAGATAGAAAACAAAGAAAACAACATTGCATTTTATAACCAAACTAAACCAATCAAAAAAATATAAATAATATTGAAAGGATTGTGTTTAGCTACCATCCTCTTACTCTGGAATCCAACATTTTTATGTTCATCATTATGAATTCCTTGGTAATCAATTCTATCCAATTTTCAAATTCAAAAGTATAAAAAAAGATTAAAGGTGGAATCCTATGAACATAGTATAGCACTACATATGCAGGCACAGTTTTTTGTGTTGTTCGTACTGTGCGTTTCTTCCTATCAAACCAGTGGTGGGTTCCGGATCCCATTGCAACCGGTACACGCAGCGCGTGCATGCATCCTTACCTCTTGTGATGCCTCTGCGAGCCTCTGCGATGCTCCAGCTACTCGGCGGAGTGTCACGCAGGTGCCGTGTGCTCCGTGCACATGCGCAGAAGCGCCGAAGAGCTCAAATACAGGTAAGGAGCTTGGGAGGGCGGGTGGGCCCTCTGGAGCACTGTACCACAACGGTACCCAGTGCTCCGGGCAGGCACCCGTACTGGGGCATACCGCCTGCAACCCACCACTGTATCAAACAGACAAATTGGTACTTCAAATAATATAACATCTCATTTCTGACTTATAATGTTTCTGTAATCAGAACAGCAGAACAAGGAACTACCTGATCTATAAATATTTTTGAGGATGTATAAATTCCTTCTTAATCCATGCAATGAGAGGGATGATGCAGTAGTTGCTTAAAATTCCCCAATCCCAACCAGCCAGATTGACTTCTAGGCTTTCATAATGTTTAACATGGGCTGATTATGTGGATAATGCCCACATTTTCAGCCTAGTAAATTCTGAAAGGCAGGGAGACCAAACTGTTATTGTGACTGCAGGCACTTACATCACAGTTCCCCATTTGTTTAAAAGCTCCATCCATTTGCCATTTTTCATAGGTAAAATCAAAATATACGTAACTATCATTCCAAATAACCACTGCACCAAGTGCATGATTAGGTATCCTAGAAAAGAAAATTTGCAACTGGTCAACAAAAGGGGAGAATTAGAAGTCCCCAGTAACTTATTCCAACCCTTTTAAGACAGTGTTCACATACCCCACATTATGTATGCAACTTGGAAAGAGATAAACTTTGACAGTGCTACCTGTTGGTGTAAAAAGAATAGGAGAGCTCAGTTAGGAATTCACAAACATACAAACAAAATATACAATATTTCGAGGAAAATCTACATGCTATATTTGTATAACTACAGAACTATATCTGTATAAGTACAGAAAGCAATTCTGTCAGCATAATGCCTTAGATCAGACTGAGGGAAAGAAAATAAGATGCTGAACCCTCAAATGCAACTTCTTTCTACCCATTTATTTTTACCAAATAAAATTTCAAATTAGAAGAAATCCCAAAAAGAGAAAGATGACCAACGAAATATGGATGAATGACACCCTGCAGGAAAGCTAGTTTTCTCTTCTTCTATAGCCCTGTCATGTATTTGTTCTTGACATTATCCTCATATCTTGGCTCAAGAATGTTTGGTTTTGAAAACCAGTTAAACACAGAGCAGCAGCAATCTATTAATTTATAGGTTATTATTAAATTGATTACAAGAAAGGGACTTGGTATCAGAGGAGGGCAAACAAATTTAAAATGTACACTTCTTAGATTCCTGTCATATTTGTAGTTTTACACCAAGCCTAAAAGCACTCATCCAATTCTTTCCTCTTTTCAGGGTTAAAGCCTGCCATTTCATTTATTTCCTCGAACAGTCTTGTTTTCTCCATTTCTCTATTCTAAAAGTATTGGAAAAGACTGAACATCCTAAGAATTATAGTCACAACAACAAGTGTGTGAGCTTATGTTAGAAGCAAAGTGCAGCCTGTCCCTTTCAAGCGATCAAATGTCGCTTGAGTAAAGGACGCACATCCCATGCTGAAGACTTGGGATGGAGTGTTTTTGGGACGTGCATCTGTGCTGAGCTTGAGAAAAGGGCGACAGGCAAGAAAATCCTCCTCCCCATTTTCCTACCGATCACCAAAAAATGAATGATCCTTGCAATCCTGGGATATGCTGAAGGCTTTTCCCAAGCTCAGCACAAACACACATCCCAAAAAACCTCCATCACAAACCTTCAGTGTTGCAATCCTGGGATGTGCGTTCTTTTCTCTTGGCGAAATAAGTAGGGGACATTCACCCATGCATCCCACATCCAGAAGCGGCTCAGGGATCTTGCAGGAAAAATCAAAGTCATGCCTGATGTGCCCCCTTTTGGATCAAAACTATCTGGCATGAGTGACTGGTAACTTCAGAATTATATTATTACTTGGTCTAGAAATTGCAGTGGTTGAAAACTCTGGCAGAGCAGGTGATAAACAGTGCTTTCCAGCAATACCACCTCCATATCAAATTAGTTGCACTGGTTATGAGCTACACTTTGCACTTTATGAGCTAGTCTTTGAACTCAGTGCATCCTGCTCATTATACGTGTAAACATTAACATGATTTGGCCATGACTACCACATTTTTGGCTAATCTCAAAAACTACTTTTGCTTTCTACCATGCGTATTTTCCAGTGCTTAACCTAAATAAAAGATCATTATAATTATTTATGCTATATTTTGTCTTATATCCCACAATCCCAATCAGTAGTTCTTTTTTGAGTGCTGAAAACTCACCACACTTTGAGCAGATGAAACTTTCATAGATTCTGACACAAGTAGGTGCTTTTTGCCTGCCCTCAATAGTTTAATATGTTTTCTAGGAGGGAAAGAAATATAAATATAAATGCATAGATGTATGGATGTACACATGTACATATACAAATGCACATATGCAAACACTTCCATAAAATTATTTATATCTATAAAAAAGCAATTAATCAAAAACATGAATGATTTGTATTAAAAGATTGGAGACTTAGTGAAGTCTATAAGGGTAACCAGAAGTTCTGAATGTGAAATAGACCAGTATTTGGTAGTATTGGCAGAATTCTAATCAAAAGGGAACAATGAGTAACATTTGGGAATCGTGTAAATTTTGTGCCAAGCAGAAAATGCATGTTTCTTTTTTTTACTTCTTCAGGTCATTGAAAAATGTATTAATATGAGAAATAAAATGTATTCTAAATTTCCTGATTAACAGAAAATGTATAATTGAACAAATAGGCTTCAATTATGAAACACTTTGCATAGAACATGGAGGTGAAGGTTGGTTGTTGAATGAAAACACCATTTCATAATGGTGTTCCCCACACCCATCAATATACACTATTAGGCATGCTGATAAGCTATTACCTTCGTAAATAGAAGGAAAACAGTGTGAATAATGGTACTATTTATGGCTTTCCACAAAACCTGGCAACAGCATCCAGGCCAATGAGACTTGGATATTTTCAATCATCTAATCACAGCATCAATGTTACATCTAGACAAGATTTCTATATCTGTACCTGTAGCAGACTAAGATGTTAAACACATATCCAACACATGTGACAGAAGCAATTATAGTAGTAGCAATCCAAATTCCTATAAAACAAACAACATAATCTTAATTCAGAGATGATTCCCTCCAAATACTCCTCACCATAGTCAGGAATAGTCAAGTAAAATACAATATTATTTAATCTCTTTTCTCTTTGTTTCTTCTTTTTACATTGAGACATAAACTCTTTAATTTCCTAACGCCTGCATCTTTTCGAAATTTTGAAATGTTATAATGTTTTGTTTTTCATTATCTAGTTATAGATCTAGGCTTTATTCATCAATGCTAATGTTTAGGGTAGATCTAAATATCTGACATTCTAAATAATTCTAGCTAGTCAGATGTGGTTTGTCAGCTATTGGGGTAGAACTGGGCACATTCAAATCCAATTCAGCTGCAGAAACTGGTGTCTATGGACCTACTCTCATCTCTAGACCAATCTATTTCATGTGATTACAGTGTGTGGGGAATAAGTCAAAAGGAGAAAACACTAATTACTTCTTAAAGAATGACAGAATATTAATATAACAAACATATTAAATGTAAATGCTGTTGTAAATGTTTTTATATGTCTTCTCGTTTATCTAAACCAGGAGTTTCCAAACTTGGCAACTTTAATTTTAACAATATGGGTGGCTGCAGAATTTTGGGAGTTGAAGTCCCCAAGTCTTTATGTAAACTGGTTTGGTGACTCCTGGTCTACACTACAACATAAATGTGACTTTTTAAACCTGAAACTCCCTAATCAATCTTTAGAATAAGGAAAGGCCTGAACAATAAGAAAAGATGTCTTTGGTCAGTTCCATGGCTATCAGTCCATATTCTGAATCCCAGAAAGATCAATCAACGCTTCCCAGAATCAAGCATCGACAAGAGCTTCTTCACCCACTTTATTCTCTAGGAGTCGATGCAGAAATTGGCAAAAAAAAAAAGGTCTCAAATTGCAATCTCATGACTATGAACTCTGCAACCTGTCATAACATAACTGTGAGTACAGGTTGCAAGTCACTTTTTCCAAGCCCATTGTAACTATGAACGCACAGTGGTCAGAAACTATCTTTAATCATCAAAGCCATTCAAAACCATGCCTTCCCTTCCCTGTTTTCATGTGAAGCTAAAAACAGGGAATTATTCTTACTCTCTTACCATTTCTATTACCTTTATTTTCTTCTGCTGATGCAACCATTTCAAACATCTTATTCATGCTAGAAAGGCCAAAGACCTTAATCTTTTAGGGGTGCAAGGAATGAAATTTGCTAAGGGGAAAAACACTCCTGATCAGCTAGAGGTTACTGCTTATTTTCAGGTCAATACTACAGCCATAAGGTTTAAAAAGCAATTATAGTTTGCTCCCAGAACTGCATCCACATAGGGCTATCTAACAGAGAAAATAAAAGGATCTATTACCTAAGGTGACCAGATGTCCTGCATCTGGCGGGACATGCACGCCTTCCCATAATTTTTCCCGTGTCCCGGGCCATTCTCAAAAAACCCTGCTTTATTTTGGCGCTCACAGTTCACTCGCTCCCCTGCCCATCAGCTGCTAGCTCGCTCACTCGTTCTGTTCTACACTAAAAATCTAAGCCAGCCCAGCCTGCCGCTCACTGATTGGCCTGGACTCCAGTCAATCAGTGAGCTGGCTGGGATGGGAAACTTTTAAGCATGCGGCGTGCTTAAAATTTTCCATCCCAGCCAGCTCACTGATTGGCTGGAGTCCGCTTAGCTTAGCACGCTGCGCGAGTCTCCATTTCATTTCGTCTTTTGCTTGCTGCTTAACTGGTGAGTAATGTTACCGGTGGGAATCGGGAGGCGCTAGGGGGAGGAGATGGCCCTCCTCTCTGTCTTCCCCTTTGTGGAGTTTCCCTGTGTCTCCCAGGTCACGCCGGTCCCCTCTCAAAAGGATTCGTCCCGCTTCCTCCTCTTCTTCTTCCTCCACCTCCTCCTTCTCCCCATCCATGGTGGCAGTCACAGGATGGGGCGGCGTCGAGAGAGAGCAATTTCCATCCCGCGAGGAGACGCCCACCGAGCTGCAGGTCCCCCTGCCGCCGCCTTCTTTCCCTCGTGGTTGCTTCCCTTCTTTCGACTTGTGGTCGCTTCCCACTGCAGCACAGGCGCCGACAGCGGCGCCTCACTTCCCACCGCAGCACAGGCACTGCCAGCAGTGGCAGAAGCTCGGGTCAGTGACCACAAGTCGCTTCCCACCGCAGCACAGGCACCGCCAGCAGCGGCAGAAGCTCCAGGCTGGCTGGAGCTTCTGCCGCTGCTGG